CCCTTCCCAGTGCCCCCCAGTCCCTCCTAGCCCCTCCTAATCCTCTCCCAGTCCCTCCCAGTGCCCCCCAGTCCCCCTCCCAGCCCCTCCCAGTGCTCCCAGCGCTCCCAGTCTCACCGCTGTCGGACAGGTCTCGCAGGGAGCTGCTCAGCGCGCTCCGTTTGAGCCCCTCGGCCCCGAACGCCTCCTCCAGGCTGCTGCGGCTGAGCCCGTTCAGCGCCTCGCGGGGGGGCCCCGCGCCCCGCGGCCCCGCCACGCCCTTCTGCTTCTCCAGCTCCGCTGGGGGGGACACTGGTGACACCAGTGACCCCCCCCAAGTCACACCAGTGACACCGGTGACCCCCCCAGTCAGACCAGTGACACCAGTGACCCCCCCCAGTGACACCAGTGAGCCCCCAGTCATCCCAGTCAAACCAGCGACCCCCAGCGCCTCCCGGGGGTCCCTGTGCCCCGCGGCCCTGCCATGCCCTTCTGCTTCTCCAGTTCGGCTGGGGGGTCACACCAGTCACATCAGTGACCCCCCAGTCACACCAGTCACATCAGTGACCCCCCAGTGACTCCCCAGTCAGACCAGCCAAACCAGTGACCCCCCCAGTGACCCCCCTAGTGACACCAGTGACCACCAGTGACACCCCAGTCAGACCAGTGACCCCCCCCAGTCACACTGGTGACCTCCCAGTGCCCCTCCCAGCGCTCCCAGTGTCCCTCTCAGTGCCACCAGTGTCCCTCTCGATGCTCCCAGTGTCCCTCCCAGTGCCCCCAGTACCCCCCCCAGTCTCCCTCCCAGTGCTCCCAGTGCTCCCAGTGCTCACCCTCCACCCGGTACTTCTCCATCTCCTGCACCTCGGCCACGGACTCGCGCAGGTCGCTGGCGAAGCGCAGCCGGTCCTGGGGGCTCGGGGCGTTGAACACGATCAGCACCTTGCGCTCGCCCCCCGGCGCCGCCGACAGCAGCTTGATCCCAAACTGGTAATCTGGGGGGCACCGGGGGGCACCGGGGTCAGGGACACCCCCACAGGGACAGGGACACCCCCCACAGGGTCACCCCCAAAGGGACACCCAGCTTGATCCCAAACTGGGAATTTGGGGGGGCACCGGAGTCAGGGACACCCCCACAGGGACAGGGACACCCCCAAAGGAACACCCAGCTTGATCCCAAACTGAGAATCTGGGGGGGCACTGGGGTCAGGGACACCCCCACAGGGACAGGGACACCCCCAAAGGAACACCCAGCTTGATCCCAAACTGAGAATCTGGGGGGGCACTGGGGTCAGGGACACCCCCACAGGGACAGGGACACCACCACAAGGACAGGGACACCCCCACAGGGACAGGGACACCACCACAAGGACAGGGACACCCCCACAGGGACAGGGACACCACCACAAGGACAGGGACACCACCAAAGGGACAGGGACACCCCCACAGGGTCACCAACCCCAGCCTGATCCCAAACTGGGAATTTGAGGGGACAGGGCGAGGGGGGAACACAGCAGGAGGTCCCAGAGGGTCCCGTGGGGTCTGTTGGGGTCCTATAGGGTCCCATGGGGTGCTGTGGGGTTCTTTGGGTACTGTACGGTCCCATAGGGTGCCACAGGGTGCTGTAGGGTTTTTTGGGGTGCTGTAGGGTTTTTTGGGGTGCTGTAGGGTCCCACGGGCGCCGTGGAGCTCACAGGCGTTCTGGAAGAGCTGCATGTGCATCTCCACCAGCGGGAAGCTCTGCCGGAAGCTGTAGGTCACCAGGATCTTCTTCTTCTGGAAGATCTTCGTCACCTGTCCAGGCCACGGGGTCACCAGGGACCCATCTCCTGGGAGCCCCCCAGATCCCCCGGGGCTGAGGACCCCCCAGGACCCCCCGGGACCCCCCGCTCACCACCAGCAGGTCGTTGAAGAGGAAAACCTCGCGCTGGTGCAGCCCCAGGCGCTGGGGCCGGTTGGGGTCGGGCACCTCGTAGAGTTGGCAGCAGCAGACCAGGCGCCGGTGGGGCAGGGACAGCACCTGGGGACAGCGGCGGGGTCACACCTGGGGTGGGACATGTCCCCCCAGACCCGCCCCGGGGTGGGGATGGTGCCCTTGGACCTTCACTGGGGTCACCCAGAGCAAGGACATGTTGGGCTACACCGAATGTCCCATGTGGGTCACTTCAAGGGTCACTTCAAGGGTCACCCCGAATGTCCCACATGGGTCACTTCAAGGGTCACCCCAAACGTCCCATGTGGGTCACTTAGAGTGTCCCCCACAGGTCACCCTGAATGTCCCCCATGGGTCACTTCAAGGGTCACTTCAAGGGTCACCCCAAATGTCCCCCATGGGTCACATTGAGTGTCCCCCACAGGTCACCCCAAATGTCCCACATGGATCCCATACAATGTCCCCCATGGGTCACCTGGATCATTCCCCATAAATCACCTGGATTGTATCCCTTGGGCCACCTGGAACCTACCCCATGGGTCACCTAGAACATCTCCCCATGGGTCATCTTTGAGTGTCCCCCACAGGTCACCCCAAATGTCCCACATGGATCCCATACAATGTCCCCCATGGGTCACCTGGATCATTCCCCATAAATCACCTGGATTGTGTCCCTTGGGCCACCTGGAACCTACCCCATGGGTCACCTAGAACATCTCCCCATGGGTCATCTAGAACCTGCCCCATGGGCCACCTAGACCATCCCTGCCATAGGGGCACCTAGAACCTGCCCCACCGGGTCACCTAGAACCTGCCCCATTGGTCACCTAGACCATCTCCCATGTGTCACCTAGAACATATCTTCCATAGGGTCACCTAGAACCTGCCCCACAAGGTCACCTAGAACCTGCCCCATGGGTCACCTAGAACCTTCCCCACAGGGTCACCTGCAACATCCTTCCCACAGGATCTCCTGGAATGCTGGAACATCTCCCATGGGCGGCCTAGAACATCCTCCCCACCACAGGATCACCTGGAATGTCTCCTTTGGGTGGCCTAGAACCTGTCCCATGGGGTCACCTAGGACACCTCCCTGTGGACCACCTGGCCCCTCCCCCCCATGGACCGCCTGGCCCCTCCCCCCCGGGTGCCCTGGCCCCC